GGGCTTTCTCTGGGGCAAACGTGCTGTCAGAGGCCTTTGTTCCTTTGGTGAGCCCTTCCCTGGAGCAGGAGACAACCGCCATATCTGGGACTCCAGCAACCTGGCTCACACTGGTAGCTCCGCCCTGGTGATTCCCTGAGGCCCCGCCCCGCCCCGCCCAACTTTCAGGCCCCCAAGCTGTTGCCACTAGCTTAACCATAGGATGGGCCCGTCTTGGATCCTGCTTCAGGTTTTTCCTAAATTCTTTCAAACGAGCAGCATCTGATCTCAGGTAGCCCCATACTTCTCGTTAAGTAATACACAGAAACAAACACAGGGAGGCAGGCAAAATGAGGAGACAAAGAAACAGGTCCCAAAGGAAAGAACAGAACAAAACCCCAAGAAAAGAACGAAGCGAAATGGAGATAAGCAACCTAACAGATGCTGAGTTCAAAATACTGCTTATAAGGATACTCAATGAACTTAGTGAGGGCCTCAAGAGCATAAAAAAGGACCAGTCAGAAATGATGGATGCACAGTCAGAATTGAAGGAGGCATTAACTGAAATAAAGAATAATTTACACAGCTTCAATAGTAGAGTACATAAATCCAAGAAGCAAACCATCGATTTGGGATATAAGGAAGCAAAAAACGCCCAATCAGAACAGCAAAAGGAAAAAAGAATCCAAAAAAATGAGGATAGTGTAAGGAGTCTCTGGGACAACTTCAAGCGTGCCAACATTCGCATCTTGGGGGTGCCAGAAGGAGAAGAGCAAGAACAAGAAATCGAAAACCTTTTTGAAACAATAATGGCAGAAAACTTTCCTAACTTGGTGAAGGAAACAGACATACAAGTCCAGGAAGCACAGAGAGTCCCAAACAAGATGAACCCCAAGAGGCCCACACCAAGACACATCATCATCAAAATGCAAAAAGTTCAAAACAAAGAGAGAATCTTTTTTTTTTTTTTTTATCCTCACCCGAGGACATTTTTCCATTTTTGTACAGGTAGAGTGGGAGGGGAAGAAATGAACAGAGAGAGAGAGAGAAACATCGATGTGAAAGGAACACATCGAGTGGCTGCCACCCGCACAACCGACCAGGGCCGGGGACAAACTGCAACCGAGGTACGCGCCCCTAGCGGGAACCAAACCCAGGTCTCTCAGGACCGCAGGCCAACGCTCTAACCACTGAGCCAAACCGGCCAGGGCCAAAGAGAAAATCTTAAAAGCATCAAGAGAAAGGCAGCTAATTACTTACAAGGGAGTTCCCATAAGGCTGTCAGCTGATTTCTCAAAAGAAACTTTGCAGGCCAGAAGGGAGTGGCAAGAAATATTCAGAGTGATGAAAAGCAAGAACCTACAACCAAGATTACTCTATCCTGCAAAGCTGTCATTTAGAATCGATGGCCATATAAAGAGTTTCCCAGACAAGAAAAAGTTACAGGAGTTCATCACCACCAAACCGTTATTATATGAAATGATGAAGGGTCTTTTTGAAGAAAAAGATAAACTATATGAACAAACAAAATGGCAATGAATACATATCTATCAACAATGGAATCTACAAACAAAATAAACATGTAGAACAGAAACATTCTAATAAATACAGAGAACATTTTGTTGGTTGCCAGATGGGAGGGGTGTTGGAGGAATGGGTGAAAAAGGTGAAGGGATTAAGTAGTACAATTCATTGCTAGACAAACCTCAAAGGGAAAGGGGTTGGGGGGTGGGAAGAAATAAACCAAAGAACTTACATGCATAACCAGTGGACACAGACAATAGTGTGGGAAAAGGTGGGAGGGGGGTGGGAGTGGGGAGGAGGGGATCAATGGGAGAAAAATGTGGGACATCTATAATACATTCTACATTCAACAAAAAAGATTAAAAAAAAAAAAAACTTGCCTTCCCAGCTATGAAAAAAAAAAATAAGAAAGAAAACTACAGACCAATATCCCTGATGAACATAGATGCCAAAATCCTGAACAAAACACCAGCAAATCAGATCCAGCAATACATCAAACAAATTATTCACCATGACCAAGTGGGATTCATCTCAGGGATGCAAGGCTGGTACAATATTCGCAAGTCAATAAATGTGATACACCACATAAATAAAATGAAGAATAAAAACCACGTGATCATATCAATAGCTGCTGAAAAAGCATTTGACAAAATCCAGCATCCATTTCTGATAAAAACGCTCAACTATGTGAGAATAGAGGGATCATATCTCTACATAATAAAGGCCATTTATGAAAGACCTACAGCCAACATCATACTCAATGGGGAGAAACTAAAAGCATTTCCCTTAAGAACAGAAACAAGACAGGGATGCCCACTTTCGCCACTCTTATTTAACATAGTACTGGAAGTCTTAGCCACAGCAATCAAACATGAAGAAAAAATAAAAGGGATCCAAATTAAAAAAGAGGAAGTGAAACTGTCATTATTTGCAGATGACATGATATTATACAGAGAAAACCCCAAAGGCTCCATCAAAAATCTACTAGTCTTAATAAATGAATTTGACAAAGTACCAGGATTCAAAATTAACATCAAGAAATCAACGGCATTCTTACACACCAATGATGAACTCACAGAAAGAGAAACTGAAAAAACAATCTCATTTACCACTGCGGCACAAAAATTAAGATACCTAGGAATAAACTTAACCAAAGAAGTAAAGGACCTATTTGCAGAAAACTACAGGACATTGGAAAAGAAATAGAGGAAGATATAAAAAAGTGGAAGCACATACCTTGTTCATGAATTGGAAGAATAAACATGATTAAAATGTCCATATTACCCAAAGCAATCTATAGATTCAATGCAATCCCCATCAAAATACCAACGACATATTTCACAGAACTAGAACAAATACTTCAAAAGTTCATATGGAACCAAAAAAGACCCCGAATAGCCACAGCAATCTTGAAAAAGAAGGACAAAGTAGGTGGGATCACAATACCAGATATCAGCTTACACTTCAAAACAGCCTGGTACTGGCACAAGAAAAGGCATATAGACCAGTGGAACAGAACAGAAACCCAGAAATGGACCCAAGACATTATGCTCAATTAATATTTGACAAAGGAGGCAAGAGCATACAATGGAGTACAACAGCCTCTTTAATAAATGCTGTTGGGAAAAATGGACAGCTACATGCAAAAAAATGAAACTAGAACATCAACTTACACCATACACAAAAATAAACTCAAAATGGATAAAAGACTTAAATGTGACCCGTGAATCCATAAAAATCCTAGAAGAAAATGTAGGCAACAAAATTTCAGACATCATACGCAGCAGAATTTTCACTGATACATCACCTAAGGCAACAGAAACAAAGGAAAAAATGAACACATAGGACTACATCAAACTGAAAAGCTTCTGCACAGCAAAAGAAACAACCATCAAAATGGAAAGACAACCCACTGTATGGGAGAGCATCACTGCCAATGATACATCAGATAAGGGGTTAATTCCCAAAATATATAGAGTGCTCGTACAGCTCAACAAAAGGACGACAAAGAACCCAATTAAAAAATGGACAGAGGAGCTGAACAGACACCTCTCCAAACAGGACTTACAAATGGCCAAGAGACATATGAAGAAACCTCACTAATTATCAGAGAGATACAAATTAAAACAACAATGAGGTATCATCTCACACCTGTCAGAATGGCCACCATCAACAAGTCATCAAACAAGTGTTGGCGAGGGTGTGAAGAAAAGGGGACTCTAGTACACTGCTGGTAGGAATGCAGACTGGTGCAGTCACTATGGAAAACACTGTGGTGTTACCTCAAAAAATTAAAAATTGAATTGCCATTTGACCCAGTGATCCCAATTCTAGGAATATACCCTAATAAACCTGAAACACCAATCAGAAAGCATATATGTACCCCATGTTCATAGCAGCACTATTTACAATAGCTAAGATCTGGAAACAGCCCAAGTGTCCATCAGTAGACGAATGGATAAAAAAGCTGTGGTACATATACACAATGTGGTACTATACAGCTGTAAGAAAGAAAGATCTCTTATCCTTTGAGATAACATGGAGGGACCTGGAAAGTATTATCCTAAGTTAAACAAGCCAAGCAGAAAATGACAAATACCATATGATCTCACTTATTTGTGGTAGATAATGAACATAACAGTCTGAGGAATAGGGTAGACCCAAAGACATGGAAGTAGGGTACAGACTGACAACCCTCAGAAGAGGGGGTGGTGGGGGGCGGAAAGAGTAAACCACAGAACTTATATATATGTACGCAAAACCAATGGACATGGACAACAAAGCCAGAGATGGGGTGGGGGGATGGGGATGATGGTGTCAATGGGGTATAAAAGGAGAAACATCTGTAACAAAAATAAAATTAAATTAAATAAATAAATTTTAAAATATTAAAATATCCCAAAGTTAAAAAAAACACTTATAGAAGATTGACTATTAATGAGTTAATGGTCCATTTTAAGCTAGAAAAAGAACAAAGAAACAGAACAATAGTAGATTAGACAAGAAATAAAAATATAATGAAGAAGATTCACAAAGCTAAAATCAAGTTATTCAAAAAGACTAAAAAACTTGACAACCCCGTGATAAAAATGGTCCAAAAAAACAACCAAATGTGCCCTGGAGGTTCTGCCCACAGACCAAAGAGTCTCAGGTTCGATTCCAGTCAAGGGCACATACCTTGGTTGCGGTTTGGTCCTCGACCCTGGTCGGAATCGTGCAGGAGGCAACCAATCAATGTCTCTCTCTCACATCGATATTTCTCTTTCTCTCTCTTCCTCTCCCCATCCCTCCTTCCCACTTTCCTTGAAAATAAATGGAAATGTATACTCAGATGAGGATTAAAACAAACAAACAAATGCATAAATATATATTAGGAATGGAAAAGGGAATTACAGAAACATCAAAGCTTTAGGTACATTTGAGTGCAGTGTTGGGCAGAAATTGATTATTACAGATCATTACACAATTGGTCACCATGGCCATTCATTTTTACTTACCGCCAACAGAAGACACATTTATTTGCGCATGCTAAGCTCGGGGTGGTTTCCATGCAACGATGGCTTTCAATGCCATAGAATGTATGCTTATAGCAACCTCCTCTCCCTCGGAGCATTGACTGTGAGTAAAAAACAAATGATAATTCAAATAAAATCCTCAAAGCACAGAAACAAAACACCAAGACATCATTTTTTAAGAAGAAACCATGTGTTTTATAACCACAAATACCCCTACTGGTATCTGCACGATGCAGAAAATTAACACTATAGCATTATAGTGTTTTGATAATGATTTGCGTTTTCTAAAACCCAATGAAATAAACCTAAGGTTCATTAACTCTGAAAGCTCTATAGGGAGCACCATTGATACTTTCATTTCAAATCCATCCAACTGTCTCAAATAATGTCTGTTCAATAATACATAATGCCAAGGGATAGATAATACAGTCTCCAAGAAATGCAGTAGCCAGTCATTGAAATGGTATCTCTGCTTTGAATAAGGGAGGGTGGATAAGGAAATGCATCAGTTGAACAGTAGAACTTGAACATATTGATACTGCTGAGGAGAAAATCACATGTATATAAGAAGTGGATTATTTTAAAAACCACACACTATTTAATAGGTGAGTGGTAAAACCACGACAGTAAGAATGGGTAATTTGAAGAAATACTGCAGATTAATTAAGTTGGAGTCACAATATAATGTCAAGCTTTATAAGGTATCATAAAAAAGATTTGTCCAGAAGCTCTGTTTTAGAGTTGTGTGTCTCAGGAAGGAGCAGAGAGAAAAGAGTTTATGCCATCTTGTCCAAACCAGAAGTCCTCAGACAGTACATTTTTAAAGGAAGTGCTCCTGCATCTCAAAATTAGTGGATGATCAAGGTGGAAAAGAAAAAAACGGGAGAGAAACACATGCTTAGAATTTATGTTAGAAATCAGGGTGGGAGGGATAGGAATATAGATAGCCTCAATTCAATAACACATGAATTCTTGTCCTCAAGGTAAATAAAGGCCTGAGAAAACACAGCTGTAGCCCAGCAGAGCCTAAATGAATGAAGGCAAGTCACCATCACTAAGCAGACTCTATGCACATCAATTTGGAAACAGAGGTACAGGGAGAAGAATGGCAGCATACAATTCTCGATGGTTTTCTCCGAATGCCTTGCAAGAAAAGGCACTGACTGCCTTTATTCTAGATTCTCTTTTCAAAAAGGTTTGTATTGTGAAAAGCCTTCAAAGACAATGTCTCCTTCTGCAGCAAAACGATAGCTATGCTTACTGTCCAGTATAATAAAAATGTGTCTCTCAAAGGCCAAGGCTAAGCCAAATTATTCCCAATTATAAAAGATTAATATTCTCTAACTGTGGGGTCTCCTCTCCTATAACACATATACAGATGTTATCTGGTCCCCAAAGTGCCACTTTATTGGAATTGGGACTCAGGAACCAGAGAAAATGAAGATATTCTGGCTACTGCTATTACTATGAATAATAAACTGTCCTTATCCTCTGCCACTATCCATGAAACTGTGGCAGGCCAACTCATTAGCTTTCAAGAAGGGTAAAATTTCAGACTGTTCAATTTTTGACAGGGACGAAGAGCTCAGTCTAGAGGTCGATAAACTACATACAGCCTATGTGTTACATCAAGTCCACTGTTATTGTAAGTTAAGCTTCACTGGAGTAGTGTCACCCTCATTTACTTACTTATTGTCTGTGGCTGCTTTTGTGCTACAATGACAGACTAAGAAGCTGCAGCACAGATCATATGTCCCATAAACATATAAGAATCACTATCTGGTCCTTCAAGAAAAAGTTCGCTCACCCTTGACTTCAATACTATTTTCATACTGTAGAGCAAAATAAATTCTAAACTGATTAAACTGTTAAAAATAAAAAATACAGCCCAGTTGATGTGACTCAGTGGTTGAGCATCAACCCATGCACCAAGAGGTCACAGTTTCAATTCCCAGTCAGGGCATATGCCCAGGTTGTGGGCTCAATCCCCAGTAGGTGGCGTGCAGGAGGCAGCAGATCAATGGTTCTCTTTCATCGATGTTTCTCTCTCTCTCTCTCTCTCCCTCTCATTTCTTCTCTCTCTAAAAATCAAGAAAAACATATTTAAAAAAAAAAAAATACAAACACAAGGAGGATTTGGGGAAGATGGAGGAGCAGGAAGCACCAGAAATCTCTTTCCCCACCTAGACAACAAATGCACTGGAGAATCTGTCTGCTTTAACTGTTTTGAAATTCGGGTCTATTGAGGTTTGCAACTTCCAAGAAAAGGCCTAGATGGTTCGTTTCTGTCAATTACAGCTCTTAGCACACTGGGAACTACCCATACACCATCTCCAGTCACAAGGAAGGCAGCTGTGCACTTCTTTCTGGAACCACCTGCAGACAGCTTGTGGGAACTAGAGCAGGTAATAATGATCCTGTCCTCCAAATATGGAGAATCTGTGCTCTGATTCCTGATGGCTGCTTGTAATCACAGAGGTGTAGAGGAGAGGTGGGCAAGCATTGTTGCACCTCCTCCCATTTTTGCAAACCCCTCCCCCTCCAGCTGAAGTGATTTCCAGGAGATTTAAAGAGCCACTCCCCCTTCTTAATTGCCCTTCATTTTTAGTTTTTCCCCTTTCAGGAGCCTCACATTAAAGACTAGGACATACAAAAATAACTGCATATTTGGGGAAAAATAAAAAGTGACTGTACATGGCCAAGGAACGGCTCAGAATAAAATATAAGAAGACATCAGGTTTACAATTCAACCTGACCCTCAGTACAGAAACAGCATAAAAAATTAAACGAAGAACAACAACAAATATAATAAAAAAACAAAAACTCTGGAGAAGAGTTACCACATTACTAGATTCAAATGTCTAGTGCTCCACAACAACAAAGCATACAAAAACACAGAAAAGTATGGCTCATCAAAGGAAAAAATTCAACAAAATCTGTCCCTGAAAAACACTTTATGACAGATATATTAGATAGACTTTTAATTTTTCTTTATTGATCTTTAGGGAAGGAGAGAGAGAAACATCGATGAGAGAGAACATCAATTGGTCGCCTCCAGCGTGCTCCCCGAATGGGGATTGGGCCCACAACCTGGGCATGTGCCCTGACCGGGAATCGAACTGGTGACCTTTTGGTGCATGGGTTGATGCTCCACCACTGAGCCACACCAGCTGGACTAGACAGACTTTTAAAAAAAAAAAAAAAACTGTCCTCAAGATGCTCAAAGAACTAAAGGAAGATGTGGAGAAAATCAAGAAAACGACGTGTGAACAAAATGGAAATATTAATAAAGAGAAAAAAAAAGCCTAAGAAAAACCAAAAAGAATTAAGGAGTAGAAAAATATAATAATTGAAATTTAAAATTCACTAAAGAGATTTAAAGGCATAGTTGAGTTCACCCAAGAATCAGTGACCATGAAGATTATCAAGGCTGAGGAGCAGAAAGAAAAAAAGAATGAAGAAAAGCAGAGAGCCCATCCAACCTGAGGGACATCATCAAGCAGAACAACATGTGCCTCATGAGTGTCCTGGAAGGAGGAGAAAGGAGAAGAGAGAATATATGAAGAGCCCTGGCCGGTTTGGCTCAGCGGTTAGAGAGTCAGCCTGCGGTCCACAGAGACCCGGGTTCAGTTCCCGCTAAGGGCATGTACCTTGGCTGCAGTTTGTCCCCGGCCCTGGTTGGGTCGTGTGGGTGGCGGCCGCTCGATGTGTACCTTTCACATCGATGTTTCTCTCTCTTCCTCTCTCTCCTTCCCGCTCTGAGTAAAAAATGGAAAAATGTCCTCGGGTGAGAAAAAAAAAAAAGAGAATATATGAAGAAATAAAATGGCTGAAACTTCCCATATTTGATAACAGACATGAATATAAATATCCAAGAGGCTCAACAAACACCAACCAAGTAAGATGAACTTAGAGACCCACCCATATCAAGAAACATTATAATCAAATTTTCAAAAGACAAAGATCAAATCTTGAAAGTGGTGAAAAAGAAGTGAATCATCACATACAAGGGATCAATAAGATTATTTACAAATTTCTCATCAGAAACTTTGGAGGCCAGAATACAATGGACCAATCTACTGAATGCTAAAAGAAAAAATACTGTCAATCAAGAAATCTGTATCTGGCAAACTATCCTTCAAAAGTAAAGGAGAAATCAAGACATTTCCAGAAAAGAAAAAGATGAGGTAGTTCCTGACTACTAGAATTGTCCTGCAAGAAATACTGAAGTCCTTTAAGGAGAAATGAACTCCAAAGGCATATGAAGAAATAAAGATCTCAAAAAAGGTAAATACATGTGCAGTTATAAAAACTGGTGTTATTGTAACAATGTTTGTGACTGTACTTTTTATTTTCTACACGATTTAAGGGACTAACATATTTAAAAAAAAAAATTATTAGTAAAAAGTTAGTATTACTATAACTTTGGTTCATAACTCCAAATTTTGTTTTTGACAATTTAGGAGATTAATGAATTTAAAGAAATTATTAGTTATTATTTTGGGGCTCAGTAATTTTGTGACTTCAACAATCAAAAGGGGAAAGGATAGAGCTGTAAAAGAGGAGAGTTTCTGTATGTTACTGAAGTTAAGCTGCTATAAATTCAAATTAAAATGTATATCTTTAGGATGGTAATCCCCAAAGAAAATAGCTATAATATACACAAAATAAAATTAAGCCCGGCTGGTGTGGCTCAGTGGATTTAGCGCCATCCTGTGGACTGAGAGGTCCCAGCTCAATTCCCAGTCAGGGCAAATGCCGGGGTTACATGCTCTTTCCCCAGTAGGGGGCGTGCAGGAGGCAGCTGATTGATGTTTCTCTCTCACACCAATGTTTCTCTCTCTCTCTCCCTTCCTCTCTTTCTAAAATAATCAATGAAAACATATTTTAAAAAATTAAATTAATAAGAAATTTTAAAATCTCACTACAAAAAAAATCAACAAAAGACAATAATACAGGAATGAGGGACCAAAAAAAAACAAAAAGGCATACAGAAAATAAATAGCACAATGACAAGTCCCTCTTTACCAATAATTATGTTAAATGTAAATGGATTAAAATCTCCAATCAAAAGATTATCAGGATAGATAAGAACACATGA